CTGATGTCCGACTCCGAAGGCAGCTGATAACTGTCAGACGGCCCTGGCCCCCTCTCTGCCTCCGACACAGAGCCCTCATCAGAGCCTTCTCCAGACTCCAGGACTGGCCCAGATTCCTCCCCAACCTCCTCACTGTCCGAATCTGCTGCCAGCTTCCCAGGCCGCTGATGGGCCTGAGTCCCAGCAGGACCCACCTTAAAATTGGCTTCCATCTCACTGAAGACCGAGATTTTCCCCCGCAGTGCTGTGCACACCAGGCTGTGGAGTTAAGTATAAAAAAGGAAGAAGTAGGAAGAATGCGGGAAATTTTTAGAGAAAGCCCCCCCCCCTCAAGTGCCTATTCCAAGCTTCCAGATGTGCCAACATGGCTCTCTTGATAAATTGGAACTTTGAGGAATCCTTTGCCTTGGACTCTGATTTACTTTTCGATGCTATTTGGAACCCTGACGACGGGTTGCTAAAAGGACAGTTGTTAAGTTGAGGAGTTCGACCCGGTGTTCTGCTCTCTCTCTCTCTCTAACTTAGGGACAAGGCGCTAGTCCACAGCGTTCTCCAAGGAATGAGGCTGCCCTGAAGTTTGCAGTACCTCACCCAAAGGAGTTTTGTTGACTTCCTCTATGGTTGTGATTAACCACTCAAAAAGTCTTGGGACAGAATGAAAAAATTGTAAAATTAATATTTAATTCATAGCCGCCTCCAGCCGGCTCCTCATTCACCTGCTTTTTTACAGGACAAGCGCAAAACTGTAATATTTCTTGTGCCTAACCAAAGCTTGGATTCTGGCAAGCCCCCTCCCAGGACCCCTGTCGGTATACCTCTTGTGCAGGTCTAGTAGATCTTTGTCGGCAATCAGAACTTTTAACTCCTTCAGGCCCTGTAAAAATTCTTTATCCAAATCGACGTCCATGTCGTCTACGTTGGTGTCTGCCGGGACAAATGAAGTGAGTCATTTTGTTGCACACCTGATCTTCAAAGTTTTTGTTGTTGTTTTACTTTTTAAGCATTTTTTTTAAATTACAGAATCTCTGGAAACGCGGGGGCCAAAAATGGGTGGGAGGTGCAGAGAAAGAAAGAAAGAAAGGAGGGAGGGAGGGAGGGAGGGAGTGAAGGAAGGAAGGAGAAAGAAAGAAAGAAAGAAAGAAGGGAGAAAGGAAGAAAAAGAAAGAGAGGGAGGGAAAAAGGAGAGGAAGGAAGGACAACAAACCTGGCACTAGACTCAGCTTCAGAGGATAATCCAGGGCTGGAAGGGACCTGGAGGTCATCTAGTCCAACCCCCTGCTCCAGAAGGACAGTTAAAGTGACTGTCTTTTGATCCCCCAGTCACATGGCTACATAGCCACGCCCAACCAGTCACATGACCACCGCCACCAAGCCACGCCCACAGAACTGGTAGTTTAAAAAAAATTAGATTTCACCACTGGGTCAGCGCTGCTGTTAAGCCTACAACAAACCATCCCTGTGGGTGCAACAGTCCCTGAATTCCCTCTGGAGAAGGGCCTGGTCTCCTTTGGGGGGCCTGCCTCACCCCATATCCTGAAGGATCTGCCCTCTTACCCATCGCCCCCAAAGTCCAATTCTCGATCATCTGTTCAGCGCAGTAGGCGAAATCCTCGAAGCTCAAATACTGCAGTTTCTTCTTCCCGGTTTCAAAGCGGCTGTTGGCGAAGAATACAATGGCGGCGTAGTCCCTAAAGGGGGGGGGGAGAAGATTTGGGGGTTTAAGCCAGGACAGCTTAACCACTAGGACAGCTGGTCAGCAAAGGAAGGGCCTCTACATCAGCATGTCTCAACCTCCCAGCAAGGCTAGCGCTGGGATTCTGGGAGTTGGAAGTCCGTGTATCTTAAGAGTTGCTAAGGTTGAGAAACATTATGCTGACACATTTTAAGAAAGGTGGGCCTCAACTCACGTGCTGGCTGGGGAATTCTGGGAGTTTGTCTGCATATCTTAAGGTTGAGGGATACTGCTGTACGTGTGTGTGTGAGAGGGGGGGAGAGTGAGCAGGAGGGGGAGAGACAGAGAGAGAGAGATGGAGTGGAGAGAAGATGGAGAGAAGACAGGGAGGGGGAGAGAGAGAGACAGAGAGAGAGAGACAGAGAAAGATACACACAGAGAGAGAGAGACATAGACAGAGAAAGACAGAGAGAGAGAGAGAAACTGAGACAGAGAAAGAGAGACAGACAGACAGACACAGAGAGAGAAACAGAGAGAGACAGAGAGAAACAGAGAGACAGAGACACAGAGAGTGAGACAGAGAGACAGAGAGAAAGACACAGAGAGAGAGAGACAGAGACAGAGAAAGAGAGAGACACAGAGAGACACAGAGAGAAACAGAGAGAAACAGAGAGAGAGAGAAAGAGAGACACAGAGAGAAACAGAGAGAGACAGAGACAGAGACACACAGAGAGAGACAGAGACACACAGAGAGAGACAGAGAAACAGAGAGAGACACAGAGAGAGACACACAGAGAAACAGACAGAGACAGAGACACACAGAGAGAGACAGAGACACACAGAGAGAGACAGGGACACAGAGAGAGAGACAGAGAGAGAGACAGAGAAACAGAGAGAGACACAGAGAGAGACACAGAGAGAAACAGAGAGAGACAGAGACAGACAGAGAGTGAGACAGAGAAACAGAGAGAAAGAGACACACACAGAGACACAGAGAGAGACAGAGAAAGAGAGACAGAGAGACAGAGACAGAGAGAGACAGAGACAGAGACACACACAGAGAGTGAGACAGAGAGACAGAGAGAAAGAGACACACAGAGAGGGAGAGAAAGAAGGAGAGAGAGAGAGATAGAGGTATCTTGAATTGCACAAAATTCTGCAGGTAAACTTGAGGGAGGGAAGGAGGGAGAACGTGCAAGAAACAGAGAATTCTCTGGTGGACTCGTTGCCCAGAATCTGGGACTCATAGAATCATAGGGCTGGAAGGGACCTTGGAGATCTTCTAGTCCAACCCCCCTCCCCCCCCAGCCAAAGTTAAGAATCCTAATAACTCTACCTTGAGCATATTACATCCCCCATGCTTATTTCCGTACCTGGCTAACCGATCGGAAAGCAAGAAATGCTGTTGAATATTTTCTACCAGCGACCCGCGTAATTCTTCCACGGCTTTGAAAACCCGCTTGAAATTGTCAAACTGAAACGGAAGGAGAAAAAACCAACACTTGACGCAATCGTGGGAGGCAAACCATATTTGTCTGGGGTTGCAAAATCATCATCATCATCATCATCATCATCAGGGGTGTGGTTGCAGACTAACCAATTTAATTTTATTTCTATCCCATCTTTAGTACAAACGAACTGTATTTACAAGATTCTGGATCATCAAGCACCTGGAAAATATATTTGCTTTTCACACCAGTCTGTCAAAGAGTCTGAAAGCTAGTTTTTTTTTCAACTCACCTGTCGGCGGCAACTTTTAAGGGTCACCCCAGTTTTGGCACTGATATCATCCAGATCTTTCTTGGTTCCTTTTGATAGCTTTTTCCCCAGCACCTCACGGACGAAAGCAGCATTGAAGGCATAATACCTGGGAAGGAATAAAACATGACTACCATTTATTTAATTGCTTCCTTCTAAATTGACAAAGAAATAGAATCTTAGGGCTTGAAGGGACCCGGGAGGTCTCCTAGTCTAAAACTTTCCACCATCTTGGTCAAATGGCTGTCCAATCTCTCTCTCTTTTAATAGTTTTTATTAAATGTTTTCAAGTTTAAAAAAGAACAGGAAAAATAATACAAAGACAAAACAAATAAAAACACAAACCATATAATATACTTCTACAGCTTCCCATATCGGCATGTATGTTCTGCTTTTGTAGTTTACTATTCAATTTTTGCCTTCTTGTACTTTTTAACAATTTTAACAATTCTAATAGTACTGAATATAGCTATATTATAATCTGATAGTATGGAGCATAGGATCAAATTTTACATATATACGTATATACATTTTTCTTCATACCATATAATCCATAGTTTTCAAAATTTGTATTTCTTCTTTTGGCTTCAATTCTCTAGCCATTTGTAGAGTCTATTCCAAATTTTATAATAGTCTGACTCTTCTCTTAACTCCGTGGTCATCCTGTCCATTTCAGCACATTTGAGTATCTTCCTAATTACCATATCGTGTGTGGGGAGGAGGTGGTTTTTTGTTTCCAATTTTTCACAAAGGCAATTCTAGCAGCATTGTTATATATATATATATAATGTTATATATTGATATTTTTTATCCATCTCTAGGTATAATATACCTAGTAAACATAACTTCAATGCTATCCTTTGTTCCGTAATTCCTTCCAGCCAATCCTTAATTTTAAACCAATATTTAGTTAGTTAGTTAGTTAGTTTATTACATTTATATGCCGCCCTTTTCCCCCGAAGGGGACTCAGGGCGGCTCACAACTCAACCAGGGAAGGGGAAAACAGACAAAAGAATTTTAAAAAACAAAGCATCACAATGCATAATTTAAAAACATACAACAGTCATACCATTCGAGACGGGGGCAACAGCTCTTTAGCCCCAGGCCTGTCGGAACAGCCAGGTTTTAAGGGCCTTGCGGAAGGCCTGGAGGGTGGTGAGGATATTTCCAGGCATGGGGGGGACATGTCCACCACATATGATAAAACGTTCCAGATTTACGTCCAATCTCTTTTTAAAAACCTACAGTGATGACGCACCTACAACTTTTGAAGGCAAGCTGTCCCACTGGTTAACTATTCTTATTTTCAGGAATTTTCTCCCTTAGTTCTAGGTTGCTTCTCGCCTTGATTAGTTGCCATCTGTTGCTTTTGGTGCTTTGGAGAATAGCTTGAGCCCCCCTGTAAGATCGCACAGGTTGGGCCTCCTCCGGGTGCCGTCGACCGGACAATGCCGGCTGGCGGCTCCCCGGGGGAGGGCCTTCTCTGTAGCTGCGCCGTCCCTGTGGAACGATCTACCCGTAGAGATCCGGACCTTTACCACTCTCCTGGCCTTCCGTAAAGCCACCGAGACCTGGCTGTTCCAGCAGGCCTGGGGCTGTTGATTAATATCCAGCCCCACTTAGACAGAATGGATGATGTGTTAATTTTAATAATTGTATCTCTTATCTTAAATTTTTTTAATGCTTTTTTATCTTGCCTGTGAGCCGCCCAGAGTCCCAATGGGAGTGGGCGGCATACAAATTTTATTAAACTGAAACTGTTCTTTGGGCAGCCCCTCAAATATTGGAAGACAGCTATCACATCCCCCATGGTCCTTCTTTTCATTAGACTAGACATACCCAGTTCCTGCAACCGTTCTTCATATGATAGAACCTTCGGATCCCTTAGTATTCTCAAATAAACAAATCCTGATTTTGCTTTTCAAACCTGAGATATATTATTCTGTAGTAAAGAAACTATATTACATAGGGGTTTTTTTTTGCCCCAGGTTATTGCAGCAAGACTTAATCTCCAAGTTTTATTCTTACAACTGTCCTGTGAGGTAGACTATCTATAGGGTGTATATGTAAAAGAGCCGTGGTGACGCAGAGGTCCACAGCCAGGAGTTCGATCCTGACCAGCTCCAGGTTGACTCAGCCTTCCGTTCTTCTGAGGTTATTAAAATGAGGACCCAGATTGTTGGGGGCAAGAGGCTGACTCTGTAAACCGCTTAGACAGGGCTGGAAAGCACTGTGAAGCGGTATATAAGACTTATTGCTATTCCCCTTCCTTCCTTCCTTTCTCCCTCATCTCCCCCACCTCCCAGTGGTTAGAATGCAATATTGTAGGCTAACTCTGCCCACTGCCAGGCGTTCAATTCTGACCAGCCTTCCGTCCTCTGAGGTTGGTAAAATGAGGACCCAGGGGCCATTTTATCCACTACCAATGACCTAGCATTGCCCGGGTATTTATTTATAGGGGGAAAATGTCCGTAATTTCTCATGTTGGATTTTCCCCCTTACCAGAGGGAGCCCCCTTGTGGAGTACTGTGAAGCTGGCAACTCCAGTGCGCTGTACAGTAGAAGCCATTTTACGGCAGTATGGTAGAAGCTGTTTTGAGGCACAACAGGCTGTCTCTTAACAGAACACACACACACCCGAGGGGTGTTAGGGGGGATCTTACCCCCACAGTATTTGTTTCCAGAGGAGTAAGTCATCTGTGTACCAAGTTTGGTTGAAATTGCTCGAGGCGTTCCAGAGTTATGCTGGTACACACACACACACAGACAGACACACACATTTTTATAGATATAGATTCGCCAGCTCACCTTTCGATCAGCATTGTCTGCCGGCAAGGCGGGATCTGGAAAAGCAGCTGGTTCAGCAGCTTGGGGGGAGAATGGAGGAGCCGTTCGAGCATGTAAAAGGTGCGGTAGTGATCCATGGTGTCGCTCTGGAGGACGTCAACCGTGGCGCCCGTCTGCTCCAAGATGCCAGAACGCAGCCGAAGGGAGACAGCATCGTCGACTGGGGAAAACCAAGAGGGGAAGGTTTGTCTCAAGAAATGAGATTTCACATGGTGGGAAGATTCCTGGAGCGTAAACATCTGTGCCTGGCTTTAAGACTCATGTCACCAATCGCAGCCAAGAAAAAGCATGCACAGAGCCACAGTGAATCACGTTAATTTTGCGAAACTTTCTTCCTGGAAACATTGCACTGCTAATTAGAGCTTTTAAAACTTATGCTAGACTTATGTTAGAGTACTGTTCAACTGTTTGGAATCCCCGCCACATATCTGACATCAGTACAATCGGGAAGGTTCAGAAGTATTTCACGAAAAAAATCTTGCACTCTTCTGGGCACAATAGAATTTCTTATGTTACTAGGCTCAAAATTCTCGGTTTAGATAATTAAAGAGCTTGCGGTCAGATCCACCGTATTTTTCGGAGTAAGACGCACCTTTTCCTCCCATAAAAAGAGGGTGAAAATCTGGGTGCGTCTTATACACAGAATACCGCATTTTTGGCCTCCCGAAACCCCGCCCTTCACAAAAGTGGGCGGGCCAAAAACGAGCCATTTTTTGCTCATTCCCCCCCCCCCCAGCAGCATTTTGCAGGCATCTCAAAGTCTCTGCATGCCCCATTTTTCACAAAAAAATGAGGTGTGCAAGAGGGTTTGGGAGGTCTGCAGAGTGCAAAACCTTTTTCTTTTAAAATTTACCTCTTCAAAATCTTGGTGCGTCTTATACTCCGGTGCGTCTTATACTCCGGTGTGTCTTATACACCAAAAATATGGTATGTATTGCATGCAAAATTATATGTCGTAATGTTTTACCTGTAAATGACTTTTTCTGTTTTAAATGCAATAATACGTGTGCGAATAACTGCTTTAAACGCAGCATAAATCACTTTAAACTTGACTGTAAGAAATACGATTTGTGTAATAGAGTTGTCAAAGTCCGGAATGCTGTACCTGATTCAGTTGTCTCAGCTACAAATTTTCACAGTTTCAATCACAAATGGACTTTCGTGGACCTTACTTCATACTTAAGAGATCAGTAGAAGGTATGTGTGTGTGCATATGTACACTAATGTGCCTATGATCCCTGTCATTGTATTTTTATTCTCTTACTCTTGCTATCGTTTTTGTTTGACAAATGCCAATAAATAAATAAACATGCAAGAATTCAATTCATGTTCTCCTAGGTTGCTAGTAGAGATCATCTACTTCAGAGTTTCTCAAATGTGGGGTGGACTTCAAACACACCCACCCACCCAGAAGTCCCTACCCAGCATGCTTTAAGATAGGAAGACTGGATGGGGAATTCTGAGAGATAAACTCTTAAACATCTTAAAGCATGATGGTTGGGGGATTCTGGGAGTTGAAGTCAACACATCTTCAAATTGCCAAGGTTGGGGACCCCTGTCTTAGATCAGGATTACTCAACCCCTGCAGCTTTAAGATGGGTGGACTTCAACTCCCAGAATCCCCCAGCCAGCATGCTTTAAGATGAATGGACTTCAAATCCCAGAATCTCCCAGCCAGCTCCCAACTCCCAAAAAATCCCCAGCTATGGTATTTTAAGATGGGTGGATTTAAACTCCCAGAGCTCCCCTAACCAACTGAAGAATTTTGGGAGCTGAAGTCCTTCTTATCTTCAAGTTGCCAAGGCTGAGAAACATCGTTGCATATTGTCTTTTTCACGAGAAACAGACATGAAGGACCGAGACTTACCAGAATATCCATCTAGCCACAGTTGATAGACTTCTTCGTCGATCAAGGTGGTGTTCCCCACAAAAATGTCCAGATTGCTGGTCATGATTAATGGAGTCCCACTCTTCAGGCACAGAATCTCTTGCTGGCATCAAGGTGCACCTCACAGCCTGCAAGGTAAGCAGAGAAATTAAGTTTCTAGTCCACAAGCTCTTTTTTCCCCACTTCAGAGACCTTCCCAGCCACAGCACCCAAGAATTCTTCCCACATTTGGAGTTTTCTCAGCCTGGTTGTTAAGTTCTTGTGTTTTATGGAATTCAACGGGCCAAATGCCCCCCCAAATATTGAACTGAAGGAAGGATTTTTTTTCAAATAAAACCATTCTAGGTCTCCACAGAAAGGAAGAGGATGTTTTGAACACGCGTCCAAAAGCAAGCATAAGTGGTGTCGAAATGTATTAAATTTATTATTAGTATTATTTCTTTTATTCATTAAAAATGAAACTCAGTCAAGTGAACATTTAAAGATGCGTCACAAATATCACTGACTGGTGCTAATGGTTTATACAGGTTGCTATCAGCGTCCTAGGTCTCAACCAAGTACCTATCTTCTTAAAATATATGATGTTCCTAGTAGCGCAGTTTTTTGCAGTTCCGCTGGTGTAATTGCAGGATGCTGCGAATTATTATGATATATAAAATAATTATTATATAATTATATAATTATTATATTATAATATATATATTATTCATGAAACACGAAAGTATGCCAACTGACTAATACTAGTGGTTGATACGGGTTGCTGCCAGTGTCCTAGGTATCAACCAAGTACCTTCTTAAAATATATTATTATTATTATTAATAATAATAATATTCATATTTAATATATTAATATTCATTTAAAATTGTGCATTTTCACAGCCGAGAATGAGGGTCATCAAAATCCTGATAATTTTTACACACTTGGGGGGGGGG